TTTATTTTTAGGGGGACGAATTTTGATGTATGTTTCACGCCCCCACCCGCACCCCTACACGCTCCACCCCGCCCGCCCCCTAAATTTTAAATTGTAAGGGGGGTTGAGTGATATATCATTTTAAAGGTCTTTTAATTCTTAATAAGGTTCTGTAATTTTTTTAAAATCTGTTAGTTAGTTTTGGAGAAATTGCTATTTGAAGTTTTAAATTTGGTAAAAAAAATAAAAAAAAAATGTAAATCAACGAATGTATTGTTCAAATTTTTTCTAACATTTTGAAATACGTCTGGCGTTAATAATCGGCATTCTCTAATAATTATTTCCCTCAATTCCTGAAGAGTCTCTGGTGGAGTGGCATAAACTTTTGATTTCTAATGTCCCCACAAAAAAAATCTAACGGTGTTAGATCAGGAGATCTAGGCGGCCACTCTATAGGACCCCTTCTTCCAATCCAACGTCCTGGAAAATGTCCGTCCAAAAATTGTCGTACCTCAAGAGTATAATGCGGAGGTGCGCCGTCCTGTTGAAATGTAATTTGATCTTCAAATAAATTATTATCATTTTCTAGAATTTCGGTAATCATTGGATCAATAAGATCTTCCAACATTTCTAGATAAATGTCTCCATTGAGGTTGCCGTCTATGAAAAATGGACCAACAAGATGGTCCCCTAAAATTCCGGCCCAAACATTTAACTTTTGGGGAACTTGGGTGTGGGTTTCATGGAGCAAATGTGGATTAGTATCGCTCCAATAGCGACAATTATTAAGTGCTTTTGGAAGCTTTTTAAAAAATCAAGCGCTGAATCAAAAATATTATACAGGGTATTCCAACGAAAACATGTACCCCCCCCCCCCCAAACGTTTTATCGGATGAGTGTGGACAAAATTCCTTGGACACGTCAATTTTTATTTTTAGGGGGACGAATTTTGATGTATGTTTCACGCCCCCACCCGCATCCCTACACGCTCCACCCCGCCCATTTAACATAAAAGTGCACTCATCCGAAAAACATGTATTATACAAAAGATTAGGATTAATAATCAACTGCTCACTGAAATATTCGCAAAACTGTAACCTGCGATCAGGGTCATCTTCATTAATTTCTTGAACCAGCTGAATTTTGAAAGGATTAAACTTGTTTATTTTCATGATGCGAAACACACTGGTGGCGGATACGCCAGAGGCTTGAGATAATTTCCTGATAGACTGTGTATTATCCATTTGTACATCACCCAACATAGCAACTTCTATAGCTTCATTTCTTACTGGACGGTTTGCCTCACGTTTTTTGTTGTGGATGGAACCCGTAGTTTGAAACTTAGCTACTAATTGTTGAACGTATTGGTAACTTACGATTTTTTCGGGATGATTATTATTAAAAATTCGTGCCGAGGCGTTTGCACAATCATTATTTCGATAATAGGTTGCAATAATTTCCGTTCTTTCTTCAATGGAGTATACCATTTTGAGAATACGTTGTAAGGTTCACAATGTTAAACTAAAAAGGTTCAGAAAGCTAAACTGATAACGACTTATTGAACAGAGCAATAGGCATTTACTAATTATTCTTGATAACTGCATTTAAATAAATCCGTGTGGCGCGTGCGCGCGTTACCATGGCAACCTCATAAAAAAATGTCATGCATGCATGTACTTTGAACATTAAATTCTTTAATTTACAATTTTGTTTTTTTATTCATCAAATTTAAAACAAGGTACAAGTTTTCGTTGGAACACCCTGTATGTAGTTACTTTTTTTGGACCAAACTGAAAACAAGCGCGGCCCTTATTGGTCAATTCGTGCATAGCGCGAGACTGTATTTACATTTACTAATTGTCATTTAGTGGCTAATTTTATTCCATGAAACCTAAAAAATTAGGCAAATGGGACTAATCTTGAAAAAAAACCTAAAATGTGAAAAAAACCATTTGAAAAAAAAAACCCTGAAAAAACAAAAAAACGGACGGTTTTTTTTCAAGTCGCATCTCTAAATATGATTGTTCTTACCACTTTGAGGTCTCTTTTAAGGCTTGCAAGTCTCTCTGTAAGAAACACAACGTTTAAAACGATTATTAATCTGTACAAACACAAGAATTGTAAACAACAAAAATGGCCGCCATTAAATGATGTGCAGTGTTGCAGTGATTTTTAGTATTTTTAGTACGAGATCGAACAGACCTTGTTGTATGGATTGTGATACAACCTATATCCTTTGATATTATCTCCAAAACCAATTAATATCATTTTTATTGATTTCTTGTCCCATTTATGTCGCTTGGGTTTTGGTATATTAACCATTGTTTCGCTACCAAAAATTCTAATATGGCTGATATCTGGCCTTTTTTATACCAAAGCTGGCGTTTTATACTGTAGACCTCTAGCAATACACCTATTTCTTAAATATATTGCTGTATTAAGTGCCTCAGCCCAAAATATTTTTGACAAGTCAGCTTCAAACATTAAAAATTTGGCTTTTTCATTAATAGTTCTATTCATACGTTCGCTCATTCTATTTTGTTGGGTCGTATGAGGATTTGTCTTTTGATGTACAATCCATTCTTTCTTAAGATATTTTTTAAAATCACTTCCACAAAATTCTCCACCATTATTAACGTAAACATTTAAATTTTAACCCAGTTTGAGTTTCAACAAGCTGTTTAAATTCTTTGAAATAACCCAAAGCTTCATCTTTTGTTCTTAAAAAATTAACATGTGCATACCTGCTAAAATCATCCTCAAAGAGCAGAAAATACCTTGAACCTCCCAAAGAAACTTCTTCCATGCCATACTTCTTTTGAAACTGTCAGGTTCAAGACTGCATTTCATAACATCACATATTTTGCTGCCTTGTAATAAACATCTATTTAACTTATAAACATTTTCATCACTGTTAGTGACCTTGCAATTTTTTTGACTAAAATTAACTTTGTTTCCATTGTTTATGATCTGTCCAATGGATAACAAATTAGTTGTCACTCCTAGAACATATAAGACATTTTTTATTTCTATATCATGCTTTTGTCCATCTACAATGGTTATAAATTGTATATTTCCTGTACCCAATACATGTAGTTTGGTTTGGTTAGTTAGTTATCTACCTTGATTTAACCACTTCTTGAAAATCAGTTATTTAGTCTTTTTTAGATGTAACATGATGGCTGGCCCCTGAATCCATGTACCAATCGCTGCTGCTGAACTCTCCGCTCATAAAGACTGCACTAAGAGCACTGACACCTTTTCTTTTGTCATTTGAGCTATCACTGCTGTCAAAATTTTTACATCCGTAAAACTTGACATTCTGCAGGTTTAAGCTTTCTTTTCTCTGCTGATAATTTTTTCTTCCATAATAATTATCATAGAAATTTTCAATAATTCACATAGCTAGCCGCAGAGGTAGGTTTTTAATGCACGATTTTGATAATTCTATATTTTTTTCAAAATCTTAAAAAAAATTAAAATTTCTGAATTGCTATTAGAAGCGCTCAAATTTCAAGTATAAGTCTGCAAAAAATCAGAATTTTAAATTGTATTCTAGAATAAATACAACGGTTAATGTTACGAATCACCAACCCTCATAGTGGAATAAAATCGCTTCTCCGTTTGGAATTAAAATTCTTTAAAAATTATATTATGCAAAATATGACAATTTTCAACAGTAATATCACAAGAGACTGAAAATAAATTGAAAATAATTTGACAGATATGTCGAAAACTTGTTGTCTGGCAATAGCCACGAAAGCCCGTAGGGCTTGAGTGGCTATTGCCTTATGACAACAAGTTTGAGAAATATCTGGAGAATTATTTTCCAATTTATTGATGTCTCGTGTTGTATTCAAAAGATTATTTTTTGACGATATAGAGCTTGCAAAATTGCATTGGTTTTATTTTTTTATTACAAAAGTTAATAAATTACAATCTAAATTAAACTACTAGGTACTTATATCAAAATTAATTAGAATGGAAATTCTGTATATTAAAAATACAATTATTATAAATGTTTTGTCCTTTACAGGTGGACTTAGCAACATTGTTTTGTTCGGTTTTACTAACATTCATAACATCACCTCTTAGGTTGCTAATTACATTTAAATGGTGTTCATTATCCAGTTGCAGATAAGGTTTTAATGAGCAAGATGAACTATGGCCTGTTATTTGTATTATTTCCTGCTCATTTACACCTGCTTTAGCTAGATGAGATACTGCAGTTCATCTTGCAGAGTGATTAGTAATTTTATTTTTTTAGTATCCAGGCCAATCATTTCTGCAGATTCATTCATCCATTTTGAAATTGTGTTTATGCCAATTGGCATATTTTTGTACCATCCTGAAGATTTTATGTTGTCCCAAGTAATGCTTACTGTTAAAAATAGCCTGTCGGTAGTAATATTTTCGTTTCGCTTGCTTAACAATTTTTTGAGCAATCGTACAGGACAAATATCAGGCTTTTCAGAGTTTGGTATTAACCATTTACTATTAGCACATCTTTGTGCTCCACCTTGAGATATTTTGGAAAATACTGGATTATATTCAAATCTTCCACTTATTAAACCAGCATTGTCGCATTCTTCTTTAAAATAATATACTAAACATTGCTTTGCTTCTCCTCCACGCCATGCCAATTCATATGAAGCAATTTTGCAAGCCATACGGCGTGTCTTCATCGTAACATTTTATCATACTGTAACGCTTTTAACTGTTCGTAGTGTGAATTAAAACACGCACTGGTTTAATAACGAACTAAACTATTTATTTTATAACTTAACTACACTTAAAACACTATAAAACTAACTAAACACTTAACTACTAATTATAATTAGTTGAGCTTTGGTACTCGCGAAGAAATAAATAAATAGAATTGCAAATAAATAAACTAGTAGTGATATAAATAATTATTGGAACTGCCTGCTCCATGCAGCGCCGTTCCTTATATATTACAGCGCCTACGTCCTCTAGAACATTCCAGCGAGCTCCACACTCTCGATTATTCGAGCGCTGAGTCACCGGCGATGACTCATCGGCGATGAGTCATCATTCCGAGATCCAGAGCCGAACTCGCTACATTGCCCCCGTCTTAAAACATTTTCGTCCCGAAAATGGTCCTCAGCTCCATGGCGATATTTGCATAGAGATCCAAACTTGCATTGCGACGTCCTATAGAAGTAGCTGTCTACGGTCTTCCTTCCGGTTGTTCTTTTAGGGTTGTGGCAACAGACAAGAATGTGTATGCTACTAAATCTGAAGATAACCTCAACCATACTTCTAATTATTCTCCAGTCTAAACCGTCAAGTCCACAAGCAATTTTCGGTATCGCCAGGTTCATGATGTCCTTGGACAAAAGGGTATTTCTTAATTTATTTAAGGCGTTCCATACGTCGCGGTAGTTTGGCTTCTGATGGGAGAGCTGCTTTGTTACCAGATAGAAAATACTTCTGTTGCCTATCTGCTCATTATTCACAATTTCAAGCACCTCTCCAACTTTGGGATTCTGCCTTCGTAGATCGTCGACCCGTCCAAACTTGTTTTTAAATACAACCGCTATTCCCCTGGACATCCTAAGGTCTTCCGCAACACAGTGAGCCAAGGAGTAATCGGCCGAAACCGTGAACAGATCTTTTTGTTCTTCTCGAGTGACACCATACCGTGCTTTTTTACCGCTCGAATATAAATACATGAAATCTTCAAAAGGCAACTCGTCTTCCGGCGGATTAACCCTCCTTATTCTAGCATCGTCTATTTGAGCATTGTTTCCAGCGTAAGGAGCCAATCGGTTAAAATGAATCACTTTCGGCTTTCCTCTTGGTTGTTTCCTGATCCTGTAGATGAAGTCATTTATTCGATCCATGACTTCGTAAGGTCCCTCCCAAGAAGTCTGCAGCTTCGGTGAATAACCACGACGGCGCTGAGGGTTGTATAACCAAACTAGGTCTCCAGGTTGAAATCCTCCATTTTCCGCCTTGATGTCGTATGCCTCTTTCATTCTATCACTGGCACTCTGGATGTTTAAACGAACTCGGTTATGAATGTCGCTCATTTTTCTACGTAAACTGCTGACATAATCTTCTCCAGCAATATCTTCCCCTGGTAGGCAACAAACCTCAGGTCACAAGGTAGACGAAGTTCACGTCCCATAACAATGCTAGCGGGTGTCTGGCCGGTTGTATCGTGGATAGAAGAACGGTACGCCAACAGGAACAGATGGAGGAAGCGATCCCAGTCTCTTTGGTGATCAGAGACTACCTTGGAAAGGTACCGGTTTATCGTTCGATTCATTCGTTCTACCATATGGCCATACCATCAGACTGCGGATGTAATGCAGTCGTCCTCGTCTTCCGAATGTTAAGAATCTTACAGACATTCTGGAACAATATAGATTCAAAGTTCCTGCCTTGGTCTGAATGCATCTCCATTGGCACACCAAAACGACAAATCCACTCCTTAATAAGGGCATCGGCCACTGTGGCAGCTTCCTGGTTTGGCAAGGCGTACGCTTCCGCCCACTTGCTAAAGTAGTCCATTACAACGATGATGTATTTATTTCCAGATTCTGTTTCCGGAAATGGACCAGCCACGTCGATTGCAATTCTCTCAAATGGGCTACCCACATTGTACTGTCGCATTGGGGCTTTTGGGCGCTTCTGGGGTCCATTGCTTGCCGCGCAAACGGCACACTTTTTGCACCATTCCTTCACATCTCGTTGGCTGTTAACCCAATAAAACCGTTCCCTAAGTCTTCCGAGCGTCCTGGTCACCCCAAGATGTCCTCCAGTAGTTCCATCATGGATTTCCTGCAGCACTTCTGGTATCCTGTTTCTGGGGATTATTATCTGCTTCCGGTCTTCCCCCCCTTATGGCATTTCCAGAACGCGCTTTAGAAGCCCGTCACTTAAGATGATGGAATTCCATTGGGCCCAGTACGATTTCACATTAGGCGAATATTGGGCGACTTCCTGCCACGTTGGTTTACGGTCGTTTTTCTTCCAATCGATGATAAGCTTCAAATCCGTGTCCCTTTCCTGGTCTTGTTGAACCTCAGCGGATTGCCAATGATCATCCACGATTGTAGTCCTGCGAACAAACACATCCTTTTCTTCGGCCCTGAGACAATGTTTACAGTCTTCCGGGCACGGTCTTCTTGACAAGGCGTCAGCATTTCTATGGGTGGTCCCAGCCCGATGTTCTGTGTCAAAGTCGAACTCCTGTAGTCTTTCAATCCATCTTGCTACTTGTCCTTCAGGATTCTTGAATTGCAAAAGACATTTAAGGGCAGCATGATCCGTTCTTAGCAAGAATTTTCTTCCATACAGGTACTTGTAAAAGTGTTCGACTGCTTTTACCACTGCCAACAGCTCGCGTCGAGTAACATAGTAATTTCGCTTTGGTTTCGATAGAGTTTTACTGAAGTATCCAATAACTTTCTCTTTTCCTTCTTGAATCTGCGACAAAACAGCTCCCAGGCCCACATTGCTGGCGTCCGTGTCTAAAATAAATTTACCATCCGGAAGTGGATAACTCAGGACTGGTGAGCTGGTCAACGCGTTTTACAGGTTCTTAAAGGCTTCTTGGCATTCGTCGTCCAATTGGAATCGTCTTTCCCCCTCTGTTAAACGTGTCAAAGGCTTAGCAACCTTTGCGAATCCTGGTACGTACCGACGGTAGTAGGTGCATAATCCAAGAAAGCTTCTTAAGTCATGTTTATTCTTCGGTTTTGGCCATTCCCGCACCGTCTTTACCTTCTGTTTATCCACTGCAACTCCTTGACTTGAAACGACATGGCCCAGATACTGCACTTCCCTCTGGAACAAGTGACATTTCTTTGGGCTAAGCTTCAGGCCGGAACTTCTTAAGCGCTGAAAAACTTCTTTCAGGTTCTTCATATGGTCCTCAAATAATTTCCCAACCACAATAATGTCGTCAAGGTACACCAAGCAAGTCTTCCAGGATAGTCCCTTCAAAACCATTTCCATGAGCCTTTCAAAAGTTGCAGGGGCATTACATAGTCCAAACGGCATGACAGTAAACTGCCACAGTCCAGCACCTACGGTAAACGCCGTCTTTTCTCTATTTTCTGATGCCATTTCAACCTGCCAGTAACCGCTTTTCAAGTCCAAAGTCGAAAATATTTGGGATCCAGACAATGTATCCAGTGTGTCATCTATCCTAGGCAGAGGGTAGCTGTCCTTCTTCGTCACCTTGTTCAGCTGACGAAAATCGACGCAAAATCGAGTTGATCCATCCTTTTTCTTAACTAACACCACTGGGGAAGACCATGGGCTGTTGGATGGTTCGATCACCCCTTCCTTCTCCATTTCTTGCACAATTTTATCAGCTTCCTCTCGCTTGGCAAGTGGTAGCCTTCTTGCCGACTGTCGAATGGGCTGTGCATCACCGGTGTTAATTTTATGCTGGACAATTCTTGTCCTACCCTCCTTTCCTTGTCCGTCGTCAAAGATATCCTGATAATTGTGAATCAGCTCTTTCAGCTTTATCCTTTCATTGGGTTTTATATTCTTTGAAGAAGTCGACAGAAGATTCGTCAATTCATTGCTAACTTTCTTGGCCGGAACTGCAGACTCACGAATGCCTCTAATAATTGAGGAAACTGAAGAACAGTTTCCCAAAACGATTCCTTTCTTCAAGTTCACAGAGTAACCATTAACATTCAATACTCTTACAGGCACTTCTTTTCCCACGCGTATTAAAGTCTTCCCTACTACAATTCCTCGACAGACCTCTTTGTCATCAATTCTCGGCTCCAGAAGCATTATACTTCCATCTTCCGATTTACAATCCAAGAAAGCCTTTAATATCATCTCGCTGTGTTCCGGTATCAAAGCATCTTCTGTTAGCATTACACGAATATTCTTCTCTTTAGATCGATGCAACACGACTTCCTCTCCATTTACCCTCAATATTCCTTGCTTAAAGTCCATTTCAAATCCTATAGAGTTCATAATGTCCATGCCTACAATAACTTCATCTTCAATATCTGCAACAAATGCTCGATTTTTAAATTTCGTGTTTCCTATGACCATCGTGATGTCCACTTCTCCACGAACAGTAGCGGTTTCTCCTGTTGCAGTACGTAGTCGCCGATTGGTAGGTTTGATCTTGGACATTTCGACAATATCTGGCCTAATAATTGTCTTCGTCGCACCTGTATCCAGCAGCAGCACATGTAATTTTCCATTAATTAAACCATCCACAAAAACACTGCTGGACTGGTGTAGAAGAGATGCAACACGTTCGATATTCTCTGGGGCATGCTGGTTACAGGTCGACGGTAGCCCCTTTTCCTCGACCCTATCTAGTTTTCCGACTGAGATGAAGTCGGCGCCTCCTGGCTTTTTCTGCAACGACTTCGTATATGTCCGAGCTTTCCACATCTCCAACACCGGATTTTCTTCTTTTCTGGTAGATTCTCTTTAAGAACTTGCCTGATTTCTTCGATTATACTGGGTTCCTCCTCTTTTTCTTCCTCGACTCTCCTAACTCTATGCTGGCTCCTGCAGCTCTGCTTTGCCGCCTCGAATTCCAAAGCTCGGGCCAATGCATCAACCAGTTGGCTAGGACGAGCCAATGTCAGAGCCTGTCTTGTTTCGTTGTCCCGAAGTCCATCCAAAAAGGCTTGAACCGCTAATCGTTCCATAACGGTCGTTGGATTAGCTGGATATGCTAACCGAACCAAGCGTGCAATATCAGCCTCGAATTCTTGTAGAGTCTCGTTCGATTTCTGGCAGCGATTCTTCAGTTGGGAATGGTAGACATGTTCCAGATGTGTCTGGCCATATCGCAGTTCCAGGTGTTTCACCAAGGCTTCGTAATCTTCTTGTTCGTTTGGAGAAAGTGTCTGCAAGATGTCCGTTGCATCTCCGCGTAAAGCAAGAGTTAATGCTGTAGCCTTCTCTTCTGGTAGCCAGCCATTTGCTTTTGCTGCTGCCTCAAACTGACGGATGTAGTTGGTCCAAGAAGTTTTTCCATCAAACTGAGGTGGTTTCATCCTAACTCGGCTCCCCTCCGGCACTGCTCCTTGTTTCGCCAGCATCATAGGTAAATTAATAGCTGTTAATTTACTATTTATTTCCTTAATTTTGAGTTCCAATTTATCATCCAATTCCATCCTTACGTCATTCAATTCCATCCTTACGTCCTCTTTTAATTCCATCCTTACGTCGTCAAATTTCTGCCCCATTTTTTCTTCCAATTCATTGACATTATCTAGAATCTTCTGTTCCAAATATTCCTTTAAATTTTTAGAATTTTCCAGAATTTTCTGCTGCAGTTCGCTAGAATTTTCCAGCATTTTCTGTTGCATTTTCTAACATTTTCTGTTGTAACTCGTTAGAATTTTCTAAAATTCTCTGTTGTAATTCGTTGGAATTTTCCAGCATTTTCTGTTGCAACTCGTTAGAATTTTCCAGAATTCTCTGTTGTACATCGCCAGAATTTTCTAGCATTTTCTGTTATAAATCGCTTTTCAAATTTTGCAACAATAAGTGCATATCACACGAACCTTCGAATAAATACGTATCTGGATTTTCACCTTCCTGTTCCAACGCTTCTCGAAGTCGCTGCTGCAACACATTCTTTTTTTCAATTGTTTCACATTCTCTTTCTTCTAGCTCCCGCTTAAGGTCCGCCACTTTTAAGTCCATTAACGAAACCATTTTCGCGAAGTTTCACACTAACCGCACTCCTGACACCAATTGTAACGCTTTTAACTGTTCGTAGTGTGAATTAAAACACGCACTGGTATAATAACGAACTAAACTAAAAGATTTTGAAAAAAAAAATTTCAATATAGAATTATCAAAATCGTGCATTAAAAACTTTACTCTGCGGCGAGCTATATGAATTATTAAAAAGTTCTATACATATATATTAAGTCAAATGTAGTCAGAACATTGACAAAGTTTTTAAAACAAAAATTAAGTGAACGGTTACAGAAATATGAATTTTTATATTAGTAATTTCAATTTAAAATATAAACACATGCGTGAGGTTATAACGGGTAAACTTTTAATTTAATTTTGCCAATAAAATAATATTATATTATATAGCTAAAAACAAACAAAAAATCATTGAGTTAAAATATTTTTATTGAATTTTTTTTAATAATGAATGAATGAATGAATATTTGTTAAAAAATCATTCTTATATTTTAGAAAATTTATGTTCAGTATACTTTAATGACTTGTTGTACTAGCCATTTTCTGTTGTGGTTATATGATTAATAAATTAATTAGTGATTTTTGAAAAAAAATGTGTCCCAAAAATATTATTATTATTTCTTTGTTTGCAACATGCGGTTGGGTGATTCGAAACATTAATCGTTGTATTAATTCTAGAACACAATCTAAAATTTTTATTTTTTGCAGACTTATACTTGAAATGTGATCGCTTCTAATAGCAATTCAGAAATTTAAAAAATTTCTAAATGTTTAGAAAAAAAAAATTTTTGCAATAGAATTATCAAAATTGTGCATCAAAAACTTTACCCTGCGGCGAGCTATGTGAATTATTGAAAATTTCTATACATATATATCGAGTCAAATGTAGTCAAAGCATTGACAAAGTTTAAAAAAAAAATTAAGTCGCTAATCTCAACGGTTGTAGAAATATGAATTTTTATCCAAATGCGCGCTAGAAAACATATACCTAACTGGAAACAATTTTTCGAACGCAAAAACCACAGATTATAAAAACGAAAAATCCAACAATACTTGATTCAACTACCAAAACTCCCCACTGAGCATGCAACATTACACAAGCTTAGGGCAATATTGCTTCTGTAAGGGTTTTGAAATGTTGCAATGTAACATTTGGGCAAGCTTAATGTAACATTGCATATAAACATTACTGTGAATAATGTTGTACCAATGTTACAATACTAACATTGAGACAATATTCTCAAAGCAATATTGCTGCACAGTTATTGTCAACAGGTTTGAAAAAGATAATATTTAGATAAAATTTAAAATGAAATATTCCCTCAACTTTTAAGGTGAAAAATTATTGCGAAATCAATATTGCAATATCACCCTACTGTACAGTAGGGTGATTAAAAATCGGCAATTTTTGATTTTTTTTTTACTGAGCAGGTTTTTGTCTCATAACTCATAACCCTGACATATTTCTTAAAAAAAATAAATTCTCTACAAAAAAGGCCTGATTAAAATTTAATTTTCTTTAAGAAATATGTCAAGGTCAATTCCATTTATCTCGATGGTTTGGGAGTTATGAGACAAAAACCTGCTCAGTAAAAAAAAAAACAAAAATTGCGAAAAAGAAAAATAGTTGATTTTTTCGGCTCAGTCTAATATGTGTGTGTATCGTGGATGTAATGTTTCTAATGAAATGTTCCTGCAACTTTGCTCGCGCACAATTAGTGCCATATCATTTTCGGTACATTGCTGCATCATTGAAGAAGCAACATTACTGCATGATTACTCCAACAGATTCGAAAAGTTTAGGTCCTAAACCCGTAGAGCATACGCCCCGCCCACTGACAGCGCGAGCAGATAGGCAAGACAGAGACTCTGTCACAGAGTAAGGAAGTCGGCTCAATATTTGTTATATGGTCGGCTCGGTTTCGAATATCCGAGCACTGCATCAAGTCTTTTATCTGTGCACTGCATAGAGTACAGGTTCACTGTGAGGAGAGACGCTGGTCAGAACATAAGGCTATTCTTTTTTTGTGTTGTGCTGTGGGCAGCCATTAGGTATTTCAAAGTACATAGTTTTAAAGGCGTGCAACAGGTGAGTTTTATTTATATCATTGCTTATGATGCTTATCACCATTGATTTTAGAGGTTCTATAAACAGTGGTATTAGTAGTTAAACTATGTATGTTCTACGCCAGCTGCAGCTGTGGCTGCTCAGCTGCGGACGGCAAACGTATAGGACGACCAAAAGCCCCGCCCCTCAGCTGCGGTGGAGGCAGGGACTATTCAAAAAATTCATATCAGATAAAAAACAAAATGGCCGCCTTGCGTATCTTATTGGTTGGTGGCCTAATCGGGGGGTGAGGGGTATCAACCTTTGCAGGTGATTGGTTGGAAGATGTGGTTTTGAGCTGCCTTCTATAGATAAGGAGGTTATGAACTGCAGATAAGCTTGTCTCGACTTGTCAATATTATGACGTCAAGCGATAAAACATTCTTTATCAATAAAATTATTTTGTTGTTTTTTGAATATTAAGTATTAATAGGACATATTTTTCATATATAATCAGTCTTTACTTATATTTTATATTGAGCGGTTATGAATTTATTTATTACATTGCTATTTTTACCCTCTATTATTTTAGCAGAATTTGCTAATTTAAGCAATAAAGAAATTGTAATAAAATATCTTCAAGATTTTGGTTATCTTAAAAGTTTAAATAATTCAGTTGTAAATGTAGAGCAAGGTTTAGTACAGTTTCAGAAATATTATAATTTAAATGCAACTGGGGAAATAACCGAAGAACTTGTACAGTTTATTAAAAAACATCGATGTTCTCTATCAGACGATAGGGCTTTTAAATTAAAGAGCAGATGGGATAAAAACATAATTCATTGGTATATTCAACCTTATAATGAACATATCAAAAAAATTGCGGCTTACGCATTTGATGACTGGCAAAAAGTTGCTAACTTAAAGTTTATTTTTTCGGAAAAAAATCCTGATATAATAATATCGCTTAGATCCTTTGAACATAAATATTCAACTCGATGTAAAAAAGGGATATGCCCATTTAAATTTGATGGATCTGGTAATGTACTGGGTCATGCAACTTTCCCAAATCATAATCAATGTCAGGAAATTCATCTTGACGAAAGCGAAAATTGGTATTTTGGATTAGACACGCCTAAAGATGATAATAAAGTAAGTTTATTTGCCGTTATTCTTCACGAAATTGGACATAGTTTAGGGTTGGCACATTCTAACAATTATAATTCTGTTATGTATGCATACTATT